AAATCTCACCTAAATATCATCAACTCAAAAAGTTCCAAATATCATCATCTAAATCACCTAAACCAAGTATGAGTGAGAATCTAGGTATGATCCATCCTAGGGCAAAATTCTTCTCCATCCACATACATGTGAAACTAGGAAACAAGTTCTCTGCTTCCAAAATACAATGATGGAAACCGCTAACCTCTAACCCTAACCCTAACCACTAAGCCTAACTTATAATCCCTAACACTTAAAAAAAAAAAAAATACGATGCTAGAATAGGACAGACATTCCCATTCCTAAACTAAAATGTTGAAGAAATAAAGGACTTAGCTGTCTAAGGCAAGTTCACAACACAGTAGGACAAATTCTATCAGGTTTTAAGGACTGAAAGGAACCCTTTGTGGCTTGATGCTCTGTCCTACTGGCCGTCAGAGCTGGAAGCTCCTTTCTCTCTGGCCTCTGCACCTATGGCTCTGCCCTCAGAGTCGTTCTTCCTTCATTTTGTCTTGTTTCTGTCCCTTTAAGTCCAGGCTGGCAGTGTTTCTGTTGATATAAAATTCTCAAAAATCTTATGAGTCTTTTGTGGATGTCAAGGAGATCCATGTTATTAGATAGGAGGGTTCTCTGCTGGTCCTTCCTGGGTAACCCCATCTTTATTGCTGGCTGCTATAGAGGTGGTCAATTGAATCCATAAGTCATACCCCTAATCTCTATAGGTGTCCAGCCATATCCTTGGCCCTGTTTCTAGAAAGTACTATTTGAATAGCTAAGAATCTTCCAAATTATCAACTGTTGATTTCTTTTTTCATAACAGTTCATTTCTCAATTCATCTCTTTATTCTCTCATTTTACTGTAAGCAGCTAAGAGAAATCTGCCTGCATCTTTCATGCTTTGCTTGGAAATCTCCTCAGCTAACCCAGTTCATCTTTTGCAAATTCTAATTTTCACACAACAGTAGAACATAATTCAGCCAAGTTTTCTGCCAATTTATAACAAGGATTACCTTTCTTCTGGTGTCCAATATCATTCCTCATTTCCATCTGGGACTTCACCAGAAGCACCTTTATCACTCATATTTCTAGGAACAATCTATCAGTGGTAGTATTAATATATGTATGCTATAAGACAATAGATGCTTTCTCTATAGCTCTTCTTTCTTCTTCCTAAGCTCTCACCAGAATACCCTCTAACTTTTACATGCCTACCAACAATCTCTTCAAAGCAATCTTGGCTTTTCCTATCATGCACCTAAAAATTCTCCCAGCCTCTCTCCATTACCCAATTCCAAAGCCACTTCCATATTTTTAGGTATTTGTTACAGCAGCATACCACTTCCTGGTACCATAATCTTTATTAGTTTCCTGGGGCTGCCATAACAAAGTACCACAAAGTGGGTGGCTTGTAACTATCAGGGCACAGGTGCAGGTTGGCAGCACTAACCACAGGAAAAGAGGAGGGGAACGGCTGTGAGGAGGCCAATGAGCATCTAGAACCAAACCCACAACAAGAAGGAACTTGAGATTAGGGACTTTTCCTGGCCAGGACCATGCACAGAAAGTAGGAGCTCATGACCATAGGTAACCTTTCCCTCATTAACATATATTAGCATAGTAAAAATTACACCCACCTGTGCCATGATAGTTTATAAATGTCATGGTAACCCCTGGAAGTTACCCTATAAGGATACATTTGGGGAGGGCCCTTAGCTCTAAGAACTCTCCACTCTTTTCCCAGAAATTAATGAATATTCCACCTGCCATTTAGCATACCATAAGTCATAGACATAAAAGTAGAAGTATGTTAAGACCCCAGGATCTTCTCCACTCATGGAGACAGACCCATCCCTACTCTGGGACACGCTTTTGCTTTGTATCCTTAGCTTTGCAATAAAGGCTGCCTGTGTGGAAGTGCTTTGTGTCTGTCCTCATTCCGTCGCACCAGCCCTGCTTGCAGTTCTTCCAAGCAAGGAGCCAAAGGACCAGGACAACAACTCTCCAACACAAACACACCTGACAGTAACAACAGAAATTTATTCTCTCACAATTCTAGAGGCCAGAAGTCTGAAATCAAGGTGTTGGCAGGGCCACGCTCTCTCTGAAGGCTCTAGGGAAGGATCCTTTCTTGTCTCTTCCAGCTTCTGGTGATCACCTACAATCCTTAGTGTTCCTTGGATTGTAGATGCAGCACTCCAGCCTCTGCCTCTATCTTCCCATGGTCACATTCTGAGATGCTGGGTGCATATGACTATCCAACACTTTTCAATCTGCTGTGGTCTTTTTTCTGCCACCTTCTTATTTCTTTTTTAACTCACTGTTTCCAAGCCCAAGCTGTTCAATTCCCTTTTTGATGAAGGGAAAAATAAAAGTTGGCAAGGGAAAGTATTCTGTTTAAAGTTAAGACAACTGCTGTCAGATTCAGTCCCATAGTTGCTTTAATCATACATATAAACACCTCTGGAGTTATTCGTTGTATGTTGGTTTGTTCAGGGTGTTTGTTTCAAGCTCTCACTTCAAGCTTCCACATCACCTTTTCTGGATTCTGTTAGCTTCTATTCTATTTAGGAGTTGTATACCTACGTTCATGAGTGACATGGCCTATAATTTTCCTTTTATGTTTCTGTCCTTGCCTACTTTGGTACCAAGGTTATACTAGCTCCATAGAATGAGTTAGGGAGTGCCTCCTCTTTTTCTAATCTCTGGAAGAGTATGAACAACATTGGAATAATCTATTTAATGAAAGTTTTGTAGAATTTTTCTGAACAACTTTTTGAGCTCAATGTATACTTCGTGGGAAAATTTTAAATTATCGATTAATATGACATTAGGGAATCCATAAATATAGTTGATTACATGAGCAGGACAAAGAAGAAATATAGGGAAAAGAGCATTTGATAAAATCCAACATCCAAATATGATAAAAAACTGTTAAATAAAGAA